ACAGTGCCTTGCAACAGTGTTAGAATAAAAGTACTTTTTTCATATTTTGTCTTATTTCATCCACAAACTTAGATTTTTTTTTCTCTATACATATTATATGGGGCTAAATTGGGGCCATAATGTTTGTAAATAAAAAAACTTAACCTGAAAACCTTTTATTTTAGAGGAAAAATATGAACCTGAAAGATTATTTTTTTGCAGCTGAAAGAAAAAAACAAAAAAAAAGACAAAACAGAAAAAAGTTTTGCGAAAACAAAAACAAAAAAATCTAGAAAATATAATTCAATATACTTTTCAGTCACGTTTTATTTTCGTAGTTGCAGGTTTTCTTTTTTTGGCATCAAACATCTGGCCCCATATTGGCTTGGGGGGGGCGGGGCCTCACCTGAGTAGCCTGAGCTGTTACGCAGAGACGAATGGAAGTTCAAATCATTTCCTCGATTTGAAAGCAAAAATTCAAAACGTTGCAGTTGTAACTGAATTGAAAATTGGATTCCGACTATACTGGCTCACCTTTCATTGATCCACAGTTAGAGTGGAAAAACAAGCTGACAGAAGAGACCTTAAAGGTGTTTTGGAGGATTTTGGCGAATTTTTTTAAAAGACCCTCCCTCTCCACTTCTCCAAAAAATGCACATGCACAACCCTGTACCCGCAACCGAGAGCAACGCCTATTAAACCTGTGCGAGAGCATGTAGGGGCCCCTTTCTCCTTGTGCACGCTGTTTAAAAATTGCTGTTCTCACAGCTCATAAAAGCTTACTGTGCCCAAATATGTAACCCCTACATCCCTCAATAACTATATAGAGCAGGGACTAACTCACCGTTCAGAAGATGATCGATGCTTTATGCTCCCAGATGGTCTCGTAACTCTTCCTTCACTGCGTGGTGCATGTGCCATCTTTGTTATTTAGTCGCCACTGTCAGGTAGCGACAGCCTATGGCAACAGCGGGCCGCTGTTACATCAAATCCCATAATGCTTTGCGAGGAGAGCTGTCTGCGCAAAGCATTCTGGGATATATCTGCCTCTTCTGAGGCCTTTCTTTTCTTCTCATGCACTTTGTGTATGAGAAGCTTTCACCCTTTTCTCTTACAACCCTCCAATTTCAAAGAACTGCGGTGAGAAAGGTGAGCTTCAATGACTGTCTGAAAATGTAGCTCACTACACGTATATGCCTGAAAGTGTATATAAGTTTATATATCTGGACAATTTGTTTAGATGACCCACCTGGAAATAAAGATTGTCCTCCATACCTTTAAGGTTACTTACAAGACTAAACGATATGCAAAGGAACAAAATAATTAAAGTTAACTGTACAGTAAATAACATAAAGACTGGCTTCATATATCAGAGTTCAAAAGGAAGAAATTGCATTAGATATAAACCACAGTTCTGCTACTGACCTTTGGGTGGCACTAACTTTCATATCCTAGCTCTCTGAAATGTATTGTCTTGTTTATTGAAATACTTTCTGTTTAGACACAGCCTTAGAAACTATCTACATACATACTGTAGTGCAAAGAAAAACAAAGTAAAGATATTGAGTTGGAAAAGATAATTTTAAAAAACAAAACAAAGATTCAAAAAGTAGATTTGTTTGAGGTATGGATGGGAATGTGGAATTGTTTAAGGCTTTTTTTCAACATATTTTACAGTTTTGTTGGTTGGTCTTCTTTGAATTAGAGCCAGTCACAAAATCAGCTTTGCAAAAAACCTGGAAGAACTGGAAAACTCTAGGAAAATTAAATCTAGGAAAAGTGAAAAAAGAAAAAGTACTGTGGGTGGGGATTGTGTGTAAAGTGCTTTTGGAGTGCTATAAATGCTTTAAATCTCTTTCTTAGAAAAACAAATGTCTATGTTCCTGACCTGAGGCAATGTGCTTTGAAAAGTCAAACTACGCTCAGATATTAAACATAATTAGTTTTCTTCCTTTTAAATAAAGAAGATCTTTAAAATACAAGAACAGGAAATGAAAGGGTATTTAGTTTAGTCCTGTTGTAACACATTTATTTTTTCATTTTAATTAAACTAAATATTGTCCATAGTGAAGCCCAAATTATTGTTTTATGGCAGAGTTAGGTTTTAAAAAATTTAATTTTACTAACATGTAAACATTGTAAGATTAAGGTTTTGAAGTGGCCCAGCGAGAACCCAGACATAAATCTCATTTAAAAAAATGTGGGAGGGGAGCTAGAATTAGGTGATGAAGGGAAGCCTTCAAACACTTATTAGCGGAAGCCTTTAAAAAGTTTTCCAGAAACAGTTTGAGAGCTAAGATGCTATTATTATTTTGTTTTTGTTTTTTTTAGTAAATGTAAAATTGATGTTTAAAAAAAATTCAATTTAAAAAAACAAAAATATAACAACACCTAGAATTTCTTATTTCTTATTAAGAAATATGTACTCTTTTTACATTCCAATGTCATCTTTTATGAAATACCTTTCTTATTTCCTACAAGGAACAAACTATATGGTATAAATTTATATCAAGGGGTATGTATACCTTTATATGTCAAAGTGATTGTACAAGGAAACAGTTTTATTCATTTCTTTTAAAATTATATTTCACATGTCATATCCACTCTGTAATGTACAACTTTGCTTAATAAGTATTTGAGAAAATTGTTAAACTGTGTAAAATGTGTAAAAATCTATAAAAGAATTAGCAGCTGTTTTAGATAATTTCATGAACCAAGGCCTTTGGTTTTTCAGTACAAGGCTCATGTGCGATAACAACTTTGTGTTCTTCAACATATTTTGCAATCATAACTGCATTGCTTTTATATAACCTGTGCATGTTTTTAAGTTTTCATTTGTGTTTCAGTTTCTATTTTAATTTTAGTGCATCAACCCAACATAAGCACACCAAATGAACATACAGCTTGTGGAATTCTATGTAGCTGGGTGTTCACTGGGACTGCATCTGCATGGTATGGATGCTCAGCGTCCTCTAACTTGAATTCCTGCAAAGTTATAGCTTAAAGGTACAGTGAAGGATGTTTGTGATTTTTTTTTAAAATACCCACCCTCTTCATTAAAAAAAAAAAAAAGCACATGTACAACCCTGTACCCGCTACCAAGAGGGGACAACTTTTAAGCGAGAGGACATTTCTGCTTGTGCATGCTCCGTTTGCATCACTTACACAAGCTTACTTTCCATAAGATTTGCAATTTTTCCACTATGTCAGACTCACCACTGTAAAGTAAAAATGGTGACGTGCAGTTAGAATGGCCTTATGTAAACATATCACCAGAATGATTGACGATTAGGAGGACCACTTATTTTGATGATCCACCTGGAAAAAGAACATTCTCTAATATATCTTTAGGTAATTTATGCAGTTGCTGAGAGTGATTCATTGGAAGAACAACAGAAATTCCAATAGCATGGAGGAGTTGTGGTTGACCCTATAACTAGGTGTGACTGTTTTCTCAGAACTGTGACTGGTATCACAGCCTCAGAATATTTGACGTGATTACATTCCTTAACATTGTTTTCATTTGCTTACTGTTGTGTGTAACTTGTGAACTTATCACGCCATTTATTTGATATTAATGTGTGCTCATCTGTCAGCTTTTACTGGGATTTCTTGTTTGTATAAAGTGATTGTACTAGGGAAAATTATCAATACAAAACGAAAGGACCAGTGACTGCTTTTGTTATAGCTTTTAGAGGAGATTAGAAGAGATCTAAAGAAAGTAAATTATCACTGTGTGAAGAGTCCAACTTTGAAGTGCATTGAGGAGCAAGGCATTGCATCTTTTCATCAACTTCAAACAGCCTGGAATGTGAAAAGTGCTGGTGTGTGCAAAATGGTGTGGACAGTGTGGGTTTCGCCCTCCCATATGTCCCAATTATTAAAAAAGCAGGTAAGTAGTGCCCCTTTGAAAACCAAAAAAGTGTCCTCTTGGGAGCCAAAATGCATTCTAAATGCTCTCTCAGGAGCCAAACTGTGTGCTAAAGTGCCCTCTTGGGGGCTGTATATATATATATATATATATATACACACACATATATATATATATATATATATATATATATATATATGCTACTAAATGTTAAGGTTTTGGGTTCAATTCCCAGCCCGGGGTCTTTGTGAATGGAGTGTGTATGTTTGTATGGTTCTCACCGGGTACTCCAGCTTCCTCCCACAGTCCAAACACATGACTGTTAGGTCAAATGGCTTCTCTTAATTCTCCTTTCGTGTGAGTGTGTGTTTGAATAGTTGTTTGTCCTGTTTCTCTCTGTCTTGCCTCACGATGGACTGGCAACCTGTCCAGGGTGTACCGTGCCTTTCGCCCATTAACAGCTGGAGATAAGCACCAGCACCCCTCGCGACCCCAGCAAGGACGGAAGCGAGACAGAAAATAAGGCCATCTTCCAGGCCATCTTCCAGTCTGCGTAATTTAGTGATAAACTGAATTTTCCAATTTTCTTGCTTTTAAGTCATAACAGTCAAAATTAATATTGTACGGAAGAGGATTAGGGCCACTGAAAAAAAAAAAAAGTTAACTGATTTTTAAATCTTATTTAATTGTGAGATTAAAGTCAGAATTCTGAGATTAAAGTCAGAATTCTGAGATTAAAGTCAAAATTTTGAGATTAAAGTCAGAATTCTGAGATTAAAGACATAATTCTGAGATTAAAGTCCGAATTCTGAGATTAAAGCTAAAATTCTGACTTTTTTCCCATATTAAACTGAAATAATTTTTAAAAATCAGTTATCTTTTTAATTTTTTTTTTCAGCGGCCCTAATCCTCTTCCGTAGTACAGGCCTAAGCGTTTGATGTGATTATTTTTTTCCTAATGGAACTATTGAAATGAACCAGCTTGATGAATCACTACACTTTAAAAGCTTTCCAAATGAAAAATACATATTTAGAGTGTGAGGATGCTCTGAAGAAGGACGTTTCTATGGAGGAGAAGCGCCTCTTTTCACCGTGAGCTCATTGTGGCTGCATGCAGAGGAGGGCGGGGCTCCCAGCATCATCACCACCGGCCATCACTGCTTCATTGTAGGCTGCTGCTGCTGCTGCTGCTCCTGCTGCTACTCATCCAGACGGTGGAAGCCGATTTGAATTTATATAAAGATAAGATGGCATCTACGGGCTTTGATTGTCGTTAGGATCCCACAGCTGATGAGGAGTCGCTCCGAGGTGAGTCCGTGGAAGCGCTGCGTTATTCTCGCTGTTTGTATTATCATCGTGGGAGTAAACAGTCAGGATAGCGGGCCTAGATGGAGATATAGCAGCGGGGATGTTATTCACAGAGAAAGCTTCGGTAATATCCGGGTAGCTGTCACTGCCATGCATCGTAACATAAGCGGTGTTATTTGGCCCTGCAGCGGCTGCTGATCGGAGCCTGGCCTACACCGGCTGGGCTTTAAAGATGCTGCTGGGATCCATCCTCTGTGCTTCTGGTTTTTTTTTTTGGCAGACAACTGAAGCTCAGGCTTCGATCCTGTTTCCATATTTGCATGCATTTGATGATAACATCAGAATCTGTCGTGCAGGTAGGATGTTGGACTGTTATCAGGTGTCTGATGTTAAGATAATCCGGATTAACGTCAGTTTGAGTTGTGATTTGTAACATCCTGTGCGCTCGGTGCTTCTGTTACAACACATTAGTGACCATCATTGGAGAAGATGCTGCAGTGATGCTGCAAGACGTGATGGTCCACAGTGGGCTGGCAGGGCCTGCGCTCTCAGCTGAGCCTTCATCCACATCGAGGTGCTATGAGAGGGAAGAAATTATGATTTATTTATTTCATTTTTTAATATAGTTTCATCAGAAATATGGGCTGCAATTAATTTAAACCTTATAGATTATACTGAACCCTGTTTGATTAGAAAGTAGCATTAATATTATATACAGTATAGTTGATAACTCCATATGTTTTTATTTTATTTTATTTTTTTGCAATTTTAAAGTATTTCCACCCTGCCCCCTGAATTACTTCCTGTTTCAATCTGAAAAAAACTCACACTGAGAGAAAAGACAATTAGAAGAAATTAATTGATACAATTACTTTGACCTCGGCAGGAAACAGCGCTGGATTTTGATAGATATGCAGGAAAAGGAGTAAAGAATAGGGCTGTTATTACCCCAGGCCTGGTACTGATGGTGGAGTGGAGATAGATGAAGTTGGTCAGTCTGTAAGCAAGCATTAGGCGACAGTGGAGAGAAAAAACTCCCTGTTTGGAAGAAACCTCTGGCAGAACCAGGCTCAACATGGCCGGTTAAAATGAGACGCAGTAAGAGTCCGGGAGGAATTATACTCTGAGGAAGTTTTAGCTATGATGGTGGAGGAGGGGCTGGAGGTGGGTTGAAATGGGGTCATCTGAATGAAGTCACACAGTGCTACCACCGCCTGCGCACTAGTAGCAGACAAGTTGCAATTCGGAGGCCTTTTAAGATGAACTTTGGATACCGATTGGCTTTCGTTAAGGTGTGGTTCAAAGCTGATTGGCTGTCGTAGGCGGATGAAGGCGAGTAATCAGTTTTTTCAGTTGAAGTTCCGCCTAGGCTCCATTTTAAGTCACAATTAAATGATTCGAGTTTTTACCTTCTGATATTTTTACTGTTGATTTTTCAATATATTCTTGACCATTTTAAGTATTTAATATTTTGAAGTAAAAATAAGCAAACGCAGTCCAGGATTCCGAAAGAAATAGTGAAATAACCCATATGGGGCAAAATGTTGTTTGTGTTGTTATTATGAGTAGCATTTTGTACCTCATTGAAAACAACTAATGTAGAGTTACTCAAAAATAGATAAAAATGATTAATTAATGCTCTTTTTTTCTCTGATTTTGATTGTAGGATTTATTTTCATATTGTTACTATATCTTTGTGTATCACTTCAGATAAATGTATTTTTTCAGAGCAATTCTTAAAAATAAACATGGCGCAGTATTAAAACCGTAATAAACCGGTGATAAAAACATATAATTTTCGAACAACCAGAGAGATAGATCACACAATATAACTTTAATTCTTTACTTTTATGTCCTTAAATTAATATTTCACACATAGGTGGTTAAATATAACAATGCATTGTCATCAGAAGCTTAGCGGCAGTTGACCGAAACCTTTTTCTCTGGAAGAGCTAATGCTGCCATCAGACAGAATGGCACCCTGGATGGTGAACCATACGCTCACATAGGGCTCATAGGGAAAAACAAGTTGCCTTGCAAAAGTAATTATTGGTTGGTAGGTAAAACTTCAAATGAGTTATATAAATCCATGCCATTTAAATAAAAAAAAACGCCTCCGCCTATGTATATAATGAAAGACAGTTAACTTAATTAATTTTATTAATGAATCATTTGCTATTTCTAATGGTATAAGCATTTTGTTGCTGATGTTATGAAAACCATACATTCCTTTCCATTTATCTGTATCCAGAAGAGATGGATGGAGGGATGGATGGATCGATATAATAAAAGGGAAATTTAAGAACATGTTAAAAAGCACTTCTATAGAATACACAGCATTTACCAGTAAAAAGAGGGATAATGTGTTCAGAAAAGTCAAGTATATTTGCAGCATTTTCATAAGATTTTAATTGTTGTGTATGTTCCTTATGGTTTCACAGTTCCACAGAATATCTCCAGTTGTGATGCAGTTTTCAGCAACTAGTGGGGGACAGGCTAGATGGGAGTACTCTATGCAGTGGGATAATGTTTAGGGTCACTTTGAGGGACACATCGTTTCACAGCATTTTATTAATTGGACCTTGATGTTAAATTTCAGCTGTTTTTCTTCCATACCTGCTGCAATTTTGGTTTATAACATACTTTAATATAGGTAACCAACCAGATTCATTTAAATTAGTCAGAACTTGTCCTGTAATTTTCTTTCAAAAGTTTTGTCCTTTCAAAAAAAATAAATATATATACCTTGACAGAATCTAAATGAAGGACAAACATGGTGCAGTTTTAAAAACAAAACCATGAGTATTTTAGTTTATACATGGGTGTTCCAATCATCTTTTGTGTGCGTTTCATTTAGTTTCTGTCAAATACATGTGAAACACTACATATAGAATCCATGAGTCATACATAAATATTTTCATTCCAGCTTTACTGTAATGGTTATAAACAATGAAAATTGGAATGGAAAGAATAATGGTGGATAAAATTATATTGAAAACTTTTACATGATATTTAACATAAACTATTTTATAATTAATATTTCTGAACACTGATGAGCTGCAGGATTTGAACCCCCACTACATCTTTTGCACATTAGATTAAAGATGCATTTAAAGTTTTATTGACAATTAACAGCTGCAAAATGTAAGAGTGACCAAAAAATAAGGCAAATTCAAACTTTAAAGCATTTATTTAACCCAAGGACTTTTTATGCCCAATCCTGTTATGTTAACTGAGCTCTGCTTAAATACTGTTTTAAAATTGTGATGGCAAATGATTACAAAAGTCCTTCTTGGCTCAAACTAAAAAGTAATTCAAAAATCAAATCGCTGACTGTGGATGAGTGTGTTATAAGACTTAGAACCATGTTACATCATAACACTGTCCCAGACTGATTAAACTTAAATTGATCATTTAATTTGAGGGGAAATGCTTCTCTTAGTCTGCAGAACCTTAGCTGATACATACAGTTGCATAACCAGGATTAACAGGAATCTAAGTACTGTAGTCCTGAAATGTTAGTTTTTTGCTTGAAAAAAAAAAAGCTATACATAACAGGGAGAGCTGGAAAGATGTAGATGGATGAGACAGTTGGTCCAGCCTTTATTGCCACATGGGCATGTGTTTGTGTCTTGTTTTAGAAAATTTAGAGATTGCAATAATATGTTTAGCACAATCCGCCTAGCGATCAATCGAATGAGGGGAAGATGGAGCGGGAGATCGATAAGCAGATTGGTGCGGCGTCTGCTGTACCGGTCTGTTGTGGTGAAGAGAGAGCTGAGCCAAAAAGCAAAGCTCTCGATTTACCGGTCGATCTACATTCCTACCCTCATCTATGGTCATGAGCTTTGGGTCATGACCGAAAGAATGAGATCCCGGATACAAGCGGCTGAAATGAGTTTTCCCTGTAGTGTGTCTGGGCTCTCCCTTAGAGATAGGGTGAGGAGCTCACTCATCCGGGGGGGGATCAGAGTAGAGCCGCTGCTCCTCCACATCGAGAGGAGCCAGCTGAGGTGGCTCGGGCATCTGATTAGGATGCCTCCTGGGCGTCTCTCTGGTGAGGTGTTCCAGGCACGTCCCACTGGGAGGAGGCCCAGGGGGAGACCCAGGACATGCTGGAGGGACTATGTTTCTCGGCTGGCCTGGGGGCGCCTTGGGATTCCCCCGGAGGAGCTGGCCAAATTGGCTGAGGAGAGGGACGTCTGGACCCCCCTACTGAAGCTGCTACCACCGCGACCCGACCCCGGATAAGCGGGAAGAAGATGGATGGATGGATGGATGGATGGATGGATGGATGGATGGATGGATGGATGGATGGATGGATG